ATAGGGTTCACAATTTTTTCGCACAAGACAGCTTGTCACAAGGAGAACAGCATTCCCCGGTAGTGGACGGGAATTTTCCAGCACTAAGTAATATTTTGGGTGTTGGAAGCCAGAGACAGACAGGTGGACTGAGTTCCAACACATACAATTTACAGAACTCTGGTAATTTGATATGTTGTCTAAACTTTATTTGGCAGCCAAGTAGCTTGTTGGGCGATTTTCTTACTTTCCTTTGTTTGCAGAAACTACGAGAGCAGGTAGCAGTTATCCATTTAATGTGCAGCGTGGCTTGGACTCTGCACAATCAACCCCATGGGCTGAGTTTGCTAAAAGTCAGTCACAAAGTCAGCAGCCAAACTTGAATGGAAGCATGTATGGTAATCAGTATTACCAGACAAAGCAGGATGAATCCAGATTTCTGGCTGTGAATACAGGTTCTAATCAGTGTAATCTAGCCTCCGGTGCCTCATCTTTTCATGAATTGCAGCGAGGGGTGGGTCTTGAGCAGCAGGCAAGGGGACCAGTCAGGTCAGAACCTTCTGGAGGTCCTATTAGTTTTGATCTTTTTGGTGGTCAGCAAATGAACCGTCAGCAATCAAACATGCTGCAATCTTTGCAACGGCAGCAGTCTGGGCTTAACAACGAAATGCAGCAACTGCAACAGCAAGTCATCTTCATGAAGATGCAAGAATTTCAGAGGCAACAGCAACTAGATGCCAGTCCACAACATGCATTAAATCAGGTTCCTCCCCTTGCTAAGGTGGCATCTAGTAGCCATTCCCCTGCTTCTGTTAATGGCACTACAAATTCCGGTGCAGCAAATTATGCGCTCGCAACTGAGATTGGCAACACTAACTGGTTGCAACGTGGTTCTCCAGTTCTTCAAGGATCCTCAAACGGATTCAATCCCACAAATTATGGCCAAGCTGCACAACATTTGATGGGTTTGATTCCTCAACACATTGATCAGTCTCTATATGGAACTCCTGTTTCCGATTCAAGAGGAAGCTTGAACCAATTTCTACAGATGGGAACAAAGAAGCCTGCAGTGCAGCCAATGCCAACCTTTACTGGTTCATTTCCGGGTAATGAATGTGCTGCATTGTCAGATCAAGCCAGTGGGCCGGATGGGACTTCCATTCCTAGACAGGGATTACAAGGTGAGAATTTTTTTGGTCATACTGTAAGTCAAGCTCAATCTAATGCGATCAATATCAAGAACCTTCAGCAAGCAAATATTATGCAAAAAGGTTCAGCTCTCCAGGATTTCTGCGGCAGACTGGATCTGAGCAATCCCTCAGAGACCTCGCAGGAGAAAGCGGCACCAACTTCTTCACCAGAGAATAAAGTTGGTTTAGATCCTACAGAAGAAAGAATTTTGTTTGGTTCAGATGATAATATATGGAATGCCTTCTCCAAAAGCCCTAATAGGAATGACGAAGGTGGTAATCTTTTCGATAGTGCAGGATTACTGACCGGATTTCCTTCTCTCCAAGGTGGTACTTGGAGTGCTCTTATGCAGTCTGCTGTTGAAGAAGCTTCTAGCAGTGATGTTGCCCCGCAGGAGGAATGGAGTGGTTTGAATTTTCACAGTGCTGAAATTTCTTCAGGGAATCATAATTTGATGTACAACAGTGGGAGACATAAAGCATCTTCTGCTGAAGACAAATTGCCCCTAGCCCCATCCTTGAATTTTTCTGTTCAACCCTGTGATAGCACCAATGTGAACAACAGCTTTCACAACGTCCAGGAGCACAGGTTTCCATATGAGCGAGGCCAGAATATGCAAACGAATTCTCTAAGACTTGACCAGTCATCAGATGGAGGAAGCAAGTCGTCAGATTTTGGTCCACTGCAGACATCAGTTGAAGCAAGCCAGAAATTTAGCAATACTTCACATCCTCTTGACCCTGAGATGATTGCAAGAAGGGTTTCTGGTAATTTGACAGCTGAGCTCGGTGGAGCTAGACAACCGTGGATGAATTCAGCTAATTGGGGTGTTCTTGGATCAGCAGTACCATCTGGAGATGCAGCGTTAAGTATTTCAAGTGATAACTCATCAAAACGTTTGCAGGACAACAATCAGAACAAATGCATCCAAGACGAAGTCTTTCATGGTGGTGTGGCATTGAAATCTAGTCCTCGCCGTATTTCTGCAGTTGGTATGGAGCATGCGGGATCATCTGTGGCTAGTCTGCAGGGGAATTCAGAGGTCTTTAGCTTCTATAACTCTGCCACAGTTCCAAATTCAAGTATGATGAAGGGTGCTGAAGAAACCAAACAATCTCTTCAAAATAATAATCAATCTAATTACTGGACAAATGCTGATTTGGTTAAATCTAATGTAAGTGAAAGTTTGGGGGTTTTACAGCATCATGTTATGAAAGACAACCAGGTTTTGCACTCATCACCGGATGTTGGTGACAAAGAGTTTAAAATGTATGAGATGGAGAACAGTGATAAGAAGGATAACTCAAATGACAGCTATCACTCTAACTCACACCCTCATTCTTCTGCTGGTGGGGTTAGGGAAAATGCATTATCAGATGCTAGTGATTTTAGGTGTCTTCTCATGGGGAAGCAGAAGTTGTCTAATCAGGGTGGTCTGAAAAATTCTTGGCCTCCGAAGTTTCAGTACCATCCCTTGGGAAACTTGAATGAGGATGCTGATCCTCCTTGTAGCATGAAACAATCTACTCATTCTCAATCTGTAGTGCAGCACAATTCCTTGAAAGGACAATCAAAGGTTTTTGGTCAGGTTCCTCAGAGTCAGGCAGAATTAGAAAAGGTAATATATGTGCTTAATGTAGTATTTTTTGAAGAGCCCTCAGTTCTATAAATCCTTGATTAACAGTAAGAGGTGAATGTTCCTTGATCTACAGGGGCAGTTGCCTGATGTTTTGATGGATGGAAAAGGCTCTCACGAGGTGCATTTGCAGAGCAGATTTCCTGGTGTATCTAATATTCCTGGGCTTTTCAATAGATCTCTTGACTTACATTCACCTAATAAAGTTGCACAATCTAGGTAGTTAATTTCCTGATTCTCAGAAATTATTAGTATTAGGTACATTTTAATAGATCCTGTACGATTTAGATGTTCTTTTGTACATATCTTTCCGTATACCTTGAAAACCTTGTTGACTGTCAAGTTGAGAAGTATAAACTACCTTCCAATGATATTCTCCCCTTGGTTTCAATGTTTAGACTGTTCTGTTTTTTGCAGTCCAAACATGCTACAACTTATTCAGAAGGTGGACCAATCGAGAGAGTGTGGTTCTGTGGCACAGTTCGGTCATTCGGAGAACAAAGCATCATCTGAGATGCCTGAAGCAGATGAGTCTGATGAGCCTGTTAGTCATCACCAGAGAAGTCAATCTTCTGCCCCTCAAGGCTTTGGATTGCAACTTGGCCCTCCATCTGGACGTGCATCAGTCCGAAGCCATTCTTTGTCATCTCAGAGCGCTATCCAAGCAGTTAGCTCTTCGCATTCAAGTCATGCTGCTGTTGACACTGGTGAGAAGAATCAAGGTCTAATTCATCAGGCTCAATCCCTACTTCCACCTTCTGACCTCTCCCAGGAAGGGTTGAGGAATAATAGATTTGGTATTCCAGGAAGTAGAAATAATGAAACTTCTATGTACACAATGCCCGGAAACCTTTCTCCAGCATTTGAATCTCTTTCTGGTTTTCCCTATATGGGAGGTCAGATTAAAAGTCCAAATGTGGTTAGGACAACTGAGCAAGTCTCAACAAATCAATCTGTTAGTGTATCTTTTGATAAACATGTTTCCTGTCATACAGAGAAAGGCGACTCTCACAGAGGATCTGCAAGTGGTCAATCTGTGGGGGCTTCCTTGCCGGATGGGGCAGGCAATACACAAGATAAGAGTGTCCCCCCTGCATGCAAATCCCAGTTAAGTAATGCCAATGGTACAGTGAAAAGTATCTTTACCAATCATGTTTCATCCCAGGAGCAAGTGTTAGTTTCTCAGCCATTAGTGTCTGGCATCGCTCAGCAGGATATGTCTTCAAAAATGTCCTCCAGTAGGTGGACTAATTTTCCACCACCTCAGCAACCTTTTGGTGCTCAGTATGACAAGAATCCTTCCCATATCTCCCAATCACATCAGTTGAATATTGTGGAGTCATCGTTGTCTGCTCCAGGGAGGCGAAGTGATCAATACTCCGATAGAGGAGGGAATTTGGCTCCCCAGATTGGTACCAGCTCAGTGAATTCCCTGGGGTCTGCTGAAGCGGAAGAACAGCGTGCAGAGGGAAGCTCTCCGCAAGTACCATTGAGAAATGTTGACCTCGTCCAGAAGATGAATGATTCGCAAGGTAGAGAATCTATTGACAAGTATGTCCTGGGAGGATCTCCTGCAAATTCTGCATCTATGCAGAGAGATATCGAAGCCTTTGGCCGATCCTTGAAGCCAAACAACTTATCTCATCAGAACTATTCCCTATTAAACCAAATGCGGGCCATGAAACAGGTGGAGATAGATCCAAGCAATAGGGCCTTCAAAAGAATGAAGGTAGCAGACAGCAGTGCAGGTGCTCTGCAAGTTCCTTCTGGGGACACTGGAATGCTAGGATTCTCCGGGCCAGAGGATTTGCAAAGAAGCATTTCATCTCAACAAGTGGGGAAAATGACTCCTCAGGATGTACTTGCACTTTGTCAGGATGATTCTCACAGCGGCGCTCACAGCAATAATACAAATTCTGTTAAGCTTGAGCAAACTCAAAATGGTCCTCAGCTGGAACCTTCCTGGTTTAATCAGTGCAGAACCTTAAAAAACGGGCAGATGTTACAGATGTATGATGCACGTAGAGCTGCTGCAATGAAGACAATCAAACAATCTTTCACTATTGGGAACTCTTCCAGTAGTTTGCATGCGCTTAATACTATGCTGCAAGTCATACCTGCAACTGCCGATCGAAGTTCAATCAGTAATCTTGAGCCAAATTCTATCCCCAGCTCTGCTGCAATTGAGCATTTTTCTTCCCCGCAGACATTGCCAGTGAATGCTGGTCATCAGCACCAAATTTTGAAGCCCATGAAGCGGAAACGTGCTACATCTGAACATACTCCTTGGTATAAAGAAGTTTCAGTGGATTCACGGAGCAATCGGACAATCAGGTTCTTATTATGCATAACAATTTCTTTAATAAATCCTCTTGCTTCATGCTGATGTGTTTTTAACTTCCTCTATGCAGCCTGGCAGAAAGAGAGTGGGCTAGAGCTGTTAATAGGCTTACTGAAAAGGTATCATGAACTGACTACTAAAATCCTCTTGTTTTCAAAATTTGATTACCTTTACTTTTCTAATTACCTGTTATTTTCTACTATCAGGTTGAAGAAGGCATTGATTTTATTGAGGAAGGGGCACCAGGGGTTAAAGCTAAAAGAAGGGTTTTATCGACCACTCAGCTTATGCAGCAACTACTTCGCCCTCCACCTGCAGCAATTCTTTCTGCAGAAGCTAATTCAGAGCATGAGAGTGTGGCTTACTCCATCGCTAGATTGGCATTGGGGGATGCATGCAGCATGGTCTGTAGCTCAAATGGTGCTCTGAATATGCCTCCTGATGATAAAAAACTGTGAGTTTTCTGACTGTTGCCTGAGATTGTTCAGTCATGTCTATAACTTTGTTGTTCTTCTGATCCTAATGATATGTTTGATGTAATTTGTAGACTTCCTGAAAACTGCAATACTTCACAGAGGGTTAATAAACATTGTTTTGCCAAAGCCGTAGAAGAGTTAATGGGAAGAGCGAGGAGATTAGAAAGTGACTTTTTGAGGTAATGCTTGATGTTTCATTCGGGTTCTTTTTTTTCCGCCAACAGCAACATGTGCAGACAAGTGTTGACGGTACACGACTATAGCAGATGAGTTTCTATAATATTATATTTGGGACCCAGAGTTCCTGCATTGTTTTTAGGGGCTTTTGGGTGGTGGGAGGGAAAAAAACTAGTCGGAGGTGAAAGAACACCTCTCGATGGAAATCGCAGTCTCTCGCCATGAAGTCATTGAGTAGGTCTGACTTTTCTGCTGTCAATATCAATATTGAGTGATATTTTCACGTTTGAGGGAGGTTATCATATTTCCTCAATTTGTAGAACTTGAGCTCTTCTGTTGCTTTAGACATTTTCTTCCTGCTGATATTTCTTCTCTTCCCCTTCTGGAATATGATCTTGAGTCACGTCTCTTTTTACAAGTTATTTTTCATTTCTGTTGACTTCTGTCTTTGGCTCTCTTAGTAGCATGAGTATGCTAGAAGCTTACATGTAATGATAAATAAAGGTGAATCTGCTAATTACGTAGACACTGCGAGCCCGTTTGGACGTAAGAAATTTTTCCCTTTTTTCGAAAAATTCACTTCTTTTCGAAATCATCATTTGTACTTTGTTCATAAATTTCCAATTTTCACTTGAAGATGTATTTTGGAATTTTTCGAAAATTTGAAAAACTTCAAAAAACTGTTTTTCAAAATTTTCACTCAGACCACTCACAAAACTTCAAAAACAACCCAAAATTATATTCATGTCCAAACACAACTCTAATTTTCAAATACCATTTTCACTTGAAATTTTTTTTCAGTTTTTTTTTTTTTTTTTTGGAATTTTACAATTCTTATGTCCAAACTCCCACTACATGTAATGCTAAGTTTTAATTATTGATTTGCAAATCTGAACAATATCCTATTTTACTCAGAAAATCGACAGTTTACTTTGAACTGTGATGGCTTCTTGCTTCTGGTTTAGCACATCTTAAAACATATGAAGCTGATGAAAATGAGGGCACAAGTACTAAGAGTACTTATTGGTTGGTTGCATAGAAACATGGGACTTTTTATTCGGAAATCCACACTTCTGAAGTCTTTAATATCTATTGCCATTTGACTTGTTATTAGTTCTTGGGAGTTCATTTTATCTTTTGATCTGTTCCACTTCTGTTGATTATATATTGTATCTGCTTTTCTGAACTCTGGTTTACTTTCTAATTTGTTGTTCCTATGATCAGACTGGACAAGAGAGCATCCTTATTAGATGTGATAGTAGAAGGGCAAGACCTAGAGAAATTCGCCATTATCAATCGGTTCGCGAAGTTCCACGGTCGGGGACAATCTGATGGTGCTGAGACCTCATCTTCATCAGGCCCAGCTGCACATACCCATAAACCTTTTCCCCAGAGATACGTCACTGCACTTCCAATACCGAAAAATCTCCCTAGTGGGGTACATTGTCTTTCTCTATGATCACAAATGAATTGATTTTTCCCTGTGCTCTGTCATCAATTACCTCAACTTCTGGTAGAAATTTTTGTCCCAGTCATGTACTAGCACTAGCAAGAAGAAAATAGAACCACACAACCAGTATTGCTGAACATACACTCAATTTTCACCTTAGATGCAATGTAGGCTGTCCAATCATTTGCATTAAAAAAAAAAAGAAGAAAAAATTGCCATTATCAAGAAATATATGATTCATTCCATGTACATCTCTTCGAAGACTAGGGTGCCCCATCATTTTTTGCCAGAAGTGGGGAGAATATATACCCTGTGGTTAAAAGTTGTCGATATGTAGTTGGTGAATGGTGCTGTTATATATGTCACCTCCTTGAAGAATTGTGAATGTTGTTATAATTGCTTTAGGCAGGTCCATGTATTTGTATTGGCATCATCATCAAGTATAAGTGATGCCTAGGCTCATAATTTATTCTGGTGATGCCCTGCTTTTTTTATTTTTCGATAAAGGTTAATTATTCTCTTGATGGATCCCTCAACCATTAGTAGTTTTAGAGTTAACAGCTGGAAACAGTGCTAAGCTGTCCAGATTGTTCAGAAATAGTTTAGATGAAAAAGGATCTTTCAGAGCAGCTTGATATTTAATTATTTCCCTTGTACAGAGGTTTAGATCAATGCCTGTACTTTGCCTTATATGGTTCTTAATGTGCAACTGTTGGGCAGATTTTTGATAACTTGTTCTGGGAGTTCTTATAGTCTAAAATGTTGATGTTTCCTCCTGTTATGCGTTGAATTATACCCTCTTTTCTGAGGGCCCCATCTCGCACCCTCCCGCCTTCCTTCACACAACCAGGTTCTGGGAAACAAAGGAGAAAATGCCTCGCAACCTTAACACAAAGTGAAATTTTGCAACTTTAGGGGACATTTTCTCTTATCGGTGTTTTGTTGTCTGTCTCGGAATGAGTAAACAACTGCTTGGTTTGACACGTGATTTGTCAACAGTAACTTTCCTCCAGCATAGCTTTGACGGTCCAGAAAAGAGGTTGATATACGAACTGAGAGAAACTTTGGTTATTTGGTTGATCAAGTACTTGCTTGTGTTCTCTATGTGCTTTGCTTAGTTACAGAATGTCCAAATGCGTGTTGAAACTACGAAGAGATTGAGCATAAGCTGAATAGTAGTAGTTCCAAACTGTAACCTAAGGGTAAGTGAATGCCCAGAATGAGGTGTAACTAAGCGAACCAAAGTTCGATGGAATGTCACTGGAGTTAGCCACGCAATGAACTGTTTAATTTACTTTAACATATGCTGATTAATAGTTTTATCTGAGAATTGCTTGCTTTTTATAGCGTGTAGAAGAATTCATGGATGAGGTAAAGCAAGAATAATACAAGTTAATTCACAAAATTTTTACTATTAAGAATTTTTCTCAAAAGCAATGGAAGATGTAGACAAGTTTGTTTACGAAATGATAAGTATGACGAGTGTAGTAATTTATTCAATTGAAATCGAAGGCATTAATATTAATTCATACCATTTCACATCATAAGGTAGCTTATTCAAATTCCTTACATTAGAATACGAATTAAGTAACAAAACGGTAATTTATTTAACCATCTTACGTTAAAGGAAAACGAAGTTACCGCCTTGCTACTTCAGTTACATGGATTAGCTTTCTCTTACCGCCAAAATTACCTACTTTTACTTCTCTTTTTTTAACATGTAAAATTTGCAGAGTATTTCTGTAACGTTGAGGAAAAAAGTACTCCTTGGCCAATGAGAATTTCCAGAATAGACGTTCACAATATGAATTCCAAACAGTAACTTCATCATAAAGTACGTCTCATGACCACATCCCTATTTTGAGAAATAGGATGTTTTTCCTACCTTGTTATACTGGACACCAACCCAAGCAGACCACCAAGGGCTAATATGAAAGAGGAGTATTCTATCTATGGAACGAGTGAGCCTAGCATCTCTGCCCCCAAAAACCCCCCAATAAATAAACAAACAAATAAATAGAAAACTAACGCTCATAGTTGCTCTTGCTGCAGAATCTTAGTAGCTCAGTTAGTTGGCTACCTAAACTTTCACCTTATTGGTGAGGGTTCAATTCCTCACCTTGTAATCCCCTCCCCCATTTCCCACTCCCCTACCCCAATATATAATTAAAAAAATTAAAAAAAAATAGCAGCTCTTCCTTGCCTCTTCACTTTCATATTACTAAATATGTCAATGTTGGCACTTCACTCGCCGGTTGCTTTAACAAACAAAGACAGCATTAGGCAGTCATTTGTCTGACACTTGGATTCATTGCCTGGGAAACATCAGTAGCATAGTTTGTAAGTTGGATGATTCTCCTGGACAAGGACGACTTCACCATCTTAAATCCCAGCTTAGGTCGCTTTTCTATCATTTCAAGTTCTATCGACCTCATTGGCGAATAGATCCATCGCCATTACATGTATATATACATGCCTCGATCAAATGAGTTGGGGTTATCCATGCTAACCCTTTGTATCCATTCCGCTCTGCTCAGGTGCAATAGATACATCCGCATTATTTCTACAGATAAGTATGAAGATAAAAATCTTAGAAGCTTAAAGATCAGCTCAATGCTTTATTTGGCATATGGATGAGCTCAAGCTTGAAGTTCCAATCTTGGAATTACGCAACGTTAAAATTAAAGCGTTTTTTCACCCTTGTTCACCTACCTGTGTAGTTGAGGCATCAAGATATGGTAACATGCATCTCCTCACCTACCATAGCAAATAATTCACCTATCCTGTCAAGAAACACTAATCTGTTACAACATGATATACAAGGGTAAATATCTCATTCTAGACGAATTTACACATTATATGACTTGTGAACACCAATACCAATAGAAACCAAAAATCGCAGAAGTAGGTTCAGAGTCAAAGATTGAAAAACTTGAAGCGCCACAGAATCACTTTACCTGAATTTATCGACATTGACTTCTGCAAGCCAGGTTGTTAAGTAAACCTACAATTCAAATATTTAATAAGTACATAATGAAAGTGGAAACAACAACAGGAGGTTGGTAAATTTTTCCGTCCAATAAGACAATGATGGATTTTCCAAATCTGATCATCAGCAATTGTATACGTATTTCACTCCACCATTATAAAATATTACCTTGACAATAAAACATGATTCAGTGTCATCCTAAAGGAAACAAAAACTTTTCGAAAAAGCAAACATGATTTAATGAGTTGAAACAGTGCATAGAAGAGACAGGAAAACCTGTCTTGAACTTAAAGGAAAAAAAGTTATAGATAAGTAATAATATCTCCAATATAGCTATCTCGCAGCAATTTCAAGAGAAGTTTGATACCAAAAAAAAAAAAAGCCTTTATGCTTAAGCCAAAAGCTTTTTTACATGGTTAGAAGTAAGACCTTCAGAAAGACAATTCGTGTGATAGAAGTAAGAGCTTCAGAAATTATATGGGATATACATAATTATTGATAACACCATTAGAGCAACTATGATATCCTACTCAATGTGCCGGCCAAGGGGCTTTTCCCAGAGTAATGATATGATGATATATCACTCACCATCAAGCCTAGAGTCTTTGAAGCACTAGGGATGTGCTTCAGTGTGCTAATAATTCTAACAACTATAGACACAGAGGAGTAGGCACACAAATTTATTCCAAAAACTATAACTTCATATACAACAGGTGACCTGATACCTGGAGAATATTGGTCTCTAATTGATTACTCGATTGCATGGGGGAAGTCCGAGAATTGCAGCTCTCTAGCCTGGGCACGAGTTGATTAAGAACCTCATTTGAGTTTGAATTGCATTTGAGCAGATCTTCAAACTCTCCTACATAGAAATGATCACTCCATTTCAGCCTGTCGACTTGTGAAAATTCCTCGGAACCAATGGAGCATATTTCCATTACAAGCAACCGCTGCACATCACTAAACTTTCAATAAGGCAAAACAAATATATAGATCATAGAAGGTTTGTACCAATAAAGTGAAAAACGCCTCACTGTGGCGGAGGAGATGAGAAAATCACCTTTATATTCGTTTCTGACACAAACATCTGGACTAGCTCCAATGCCAGTTTCTCTGAAGTCATTAGAGAGGAAAATTGTAAATATGAAGTGCTAAGCAGATAAGTAAGAGAAGTTAGTTATCAGTTTAAGACCAAAAGGAAGCCAAGGTATAACTCCTTTTACTGATTGTTTAATAGGACACTCTCCATTCCCGATATCTCAAGTCTATGCGTAGATTATCCACCCCTAAAGCAATATTTTATAGTTAACCAAGGAGATTAAGGGTGACTGCGGAATGTCGTCCGGCCAGGCAGAAGAGACTATCATGTGATCACCAAAACCCTACAACCAGGAAGGGGAGAAACAAAAGATCCTGACGACTCAAACTCAAAATTGAGCTCTAGCAACTTATACCACATTGACAACCAGATTTGCTTAGGTTTTATATGATTACTTCTTTTGATAAGTAGGTTTTATATAGTTACTTCTGTTGTTGGACCATGATATTCCATTTGAACTCATCTCAGGCCAATATCATTTGTAGTACACTAGAGCAAAAGGTTTAATGAAAGCTTTGTGATACCCTTGTACTACTAACTAAGCAGACAATAAATTTAACACTCATTGATTAGCTGGAACTACGAATTAACATATGATAACCTTTTAACAAAACATTGACAAATCTCTGCAGGAATTCCTAATAGTGGGACAGTCTGCAACTTGCAAAGGTTTTAAAGGCATACCGAAATCAAAGATTGACCAAAAGGTGAAAACAGGAATTCCATCACTATCACCAGTGTCATTCTGATCTCCGGGGAACAAAGAAAACTCAGTAAGTGCACTGCCATTTGTTCCTTTGCGGTAACACCTCATAGATTTGGAAACATTGACCATCTGAGTTACAACAGCCACCTGCAGACAGCTAAATAGTCAGGCAATAAACAGGCATGGGAATTTCATAGAAGTCACTGGAATTAAGAAAGTAAAATGCCAGTATACCAGACTCCTAAACAATCGTAGCTTCAATATAGTCATGAAGGAGTAAGATCCATGCCTAAGCAAGAGCTAATTGAAGGAGAGAACTAGAACCAAGTCTCAAAGATAAATCACTTGGCAGTTGGTTTCTGTCAATGAGTGAATAACACGCAAACAACTAAGAACTATATATACATGTCCTGATTCAGTCTTGATTTTTGCACCCTTGACTAAAAGTACTCTAGACCCCAGCTTCCCAAGATACCAAAACTTTTGCAATTTGTATACTGACACCTAGCGATATATATACACTTCACAACAATAATACCCCACTCTAATCCCACTGGGGAGGGTAGAGTGTACGCAAACCTTACTCCTATCCCAGAGGGGTAGAGAGGCTATTTCCGAAAGACCCTCGACTCAAGAAGAAGAAAATAAACAATAGACAATGGAACAATGACAACAACAGAAGCCAGAAAAATAATATCAGCATCGTAAGAAACAGAAAATAGATGGAAAAGCAATAACAATAACCAGTAATAATGCCATAGAAAATAGTGTGAAAACTACATAAACCCCAAAAGACGCAAGGCGAAACATTACCAGCCTAGCCCCGCCCCGGCACAAACGTGGAAAAATGCTCAACTCCCTCCTAACCTACAATGGTCGACCTCCACACCTTCCTATCAATAGCCATGTCCTCGGAGATCTGAAGTCGCGCCATGTCATGGCTGATCACCTCACCCCAATACTTCTTAGGCCACCCTCTACCTCTTCTCATACCTGGCAATGTCAACTGCTCACACCTCCTAATCAGGACATCTATGCTTCTCCTCCGCACGTGCCCGAACCATCTAAGCCTCGCTTGCCGCATCTTGTCGTCCATAGGAGCCACCCCCACCTCCCTCGGAATATCTTCATTCCTAATCTTATCCAACCTAGTGTGCCTGCACATCCATCTCAACATCCTTATCTATGCCACTTTCATCTTCTGGGTATGAGAATTCTTGGCTGCCCAACACTCACCCCATACAGCATGGCCGGTCTAACCACTGCTCTATAGAACTTGCCTTTAAGTTTCGGTGGCACTTTCTTATCACACAGGACTCCAGATGCTAACATCCATTTCATCAACCCCACTGCTATACGGTGCGTGACATCCTCGTCTATCTCCCTATCCCCCGGATAATTGACCCAAGGTACTTGAAACGTCCTCTCTTGGGATGACTTGTGAGTCAAGCCTCGCGCTCATGTCCGCTTCTCCCAACACATCGCTTAACTTACACTCCAGATATTCTGTCTTAGTCCTACTCAACTTGAAACCTTTAGACTCAAGGGTCTATCTCCAAACCTCCGACCTCTCGTCAACGCCGCATCATGTCTCATCAATCAGAACTATATCATCAGTGAACAACATACACCATGACACCTCCTTAAATATGGTGTGTTAGTGCATCCATCGCCAGGACAAATAAGAATGAGCTGAGCGCAAACCTTTGGTGCAACCCCTATAACAACCGGAAAGTGCTCCGAGTCACCTCCCATAGTCCTAACCCTAGTATTAGCTCCCCCATACATGTCCTTTATCACTCTAATGTAGGCTACCATCACACATTTCACCTCCAAGCATCTCCAAAGAACCTCCCTAGAAACCTTGTCATACACTTTCTCTAGGTCAATAAACACCATGTGTAAATCCTTCTTCCTATGCCTGTACTGTTCCACCAACCTCCTGATAAGGTGGATAGCTTCCGTAGTAGAACGACCCGGCATAAACACTTCACAGTAAATACTTTATCTTATAGCTAAAACTTTTTGACCTATAAATTCACTTATATAACTTTGTCAAATTAGTTATATAATTTTTTTGGTCAGATAAAGCTAAAAATGGATAGTCATACAACTATGGGTTGAGAGTGTGATCTCAAGGACGTTGGACATTCCAAGAACGAGATAAATGCAATTCTGGATGTCAAACAAGCACAGATAAGCATGGAAGACAAATGCAGTAAACACTTCAAAAGACCAGTAGAGATATCAGTTTGTTGCTTTTACCAGAATTAGCATCAAAGGAATTTGTGCCAGGATATCTAAACAGCAGATATTTCGTTCACGTAGAAATACATAACACAACTACTGGCCTTCCAAATACTTGGGGATTATAGAAGTAACATTGTGCTTAATCACTCATTCAAACTGTACATGAGGCATAAGTATCTATTTTCCGGTGTTTTTCAAATAGGGATGTTTCCCTTCCAAACATAGGAGAGGGTCGAATGAAATAGGGAGCATTTGAAAGTAATGAAGTTATAAGACATTTGCAGAGGCCTGAACTATTAAAGAAGATGTTAAGCATTACGTAGGGAGATACCGACAGGTTTAGATGTGTAAATAACACAAAACGATATTCAGGTTCCGAGCAACACAGAAGAAAACCACAGCAGAGAATACATCAATTTGATGACAAAATGTTTACCAACTTTACTCAGAGTAGCAAGCTAATCATTGACACATTTATGAAGCGGAGCAGTAAATATGTAGTGTCCATACCATATCTTTGTAAGATGACAAGAGGTTATTCCTATAAGTCTCCTGAAAAATAAAGACAGCTGTGAGAAATTACTCAGAGTACAGTTTGATTTTGTCAATAAACAGAGATGGGTTTTCCATTCTACTTTACAGACTCCTTTCCAGCATACTTGAGCAACTAAATAACGAGGAAAACCTCTGACACGCAATCAGACAATATTTCCAGCATAATCTCGAGCATACTCAATGAGCAATCCAACAACATTAATTTAGCAACAAGAATATTAAGAAATTTGTCGCTTGGAAGGTGCTAATATATTCTCAGTACTTCAAATTCAATAGGTTTTCCATGTAATTATGAGGAAGCAACAAGGGACATCAAAACACATTGGTTCAATCAACTTTATGCAGTGTGCAAATAGCCAGCTTCTAGGACAATTCAAATTGAAGCCAAAAGACTGAAGGACAAAGGCAATTACTATAATCACCTGCTGCTTGAACAATTTCCTACATGCCTTTTTACGTATATCAGGCATATCTGTTAAAACACCCAAGTCCATTGCATCCATATACCTGCATCAAATCTCCAAAGGATGTAATTCAGAATCACTGACAAGTCAATATTGTAAATTGTTAGAGTCCTGCACTAGCTGAGGGTATGGGTTGTAGGCTCTGTTGAGTTAGGGCCAGGATCCATTTTGCTTAACAGAAATCACATTAACCACAATACAAATCCACATACTCTCTTCAATACTATTCCCTCGTCCCCGAAAGAATAAGACAATTACTTTTTTTATGATGGTAGTATTCAGGCCAACTTGTGCGCACCCAACTATTCCATCAGGTACATGCTACCTCCCACCAGCTCAAGTACAAGTTAAACTCTGCCCACCAAGGCTTAGATATATGGAAAGAAATCACCTAGTATTTTTTTGCCTCCGCTCCATTGGGATTTGAACCTGAGGCTTGCTTAAAGTGCTTAAGCCCTAAAGCTCGGTGTTAAGGCGTGTTCACTTTCACGGATGGGTTCTGTCTTCCATGGCACAACAACATATATGTATATAGCTTACTTCTAGTTTTTCCATTCTTTTGTTTGTGTATTGTAGTTATATTTTCTTGCATTACTTCATTGGTGCTTTTCTTAGCAATGCTTAAAAAACTTTGATGCTTCTTTATTCTTTTCGCTTTTGACTACTCTGCTGAGAACTCATGATTCTCCTCCCACTTTGACCACTAACCATACTCTTGGGTGCTGACACAATTATATTTGGAGTCATTTTTCTATTCATACGTTGTGGTACTGCTTTTAACTGTAAAAAAAATGATTTACAGTATCTTTAAGCAAGTTCCTGACTTGTAATTTTATTCAAACGCGTGCTTGAAGTTTACCTTTGGGAGAGATGTGAATTGACTACAGAAGTGGCATATGATCGAGCAGTGGAGGATAAGGAAAACCATTTCGTCCGCAAAGCAGCCAACTTAGACCATTGGTTTCTCAGGTTTCGTTGCGCCGCCGGTCTCCATCGCCGTATATCTTGAGCGGATAACGGCGTCGAAGGCGTTGTTGGCGGCGCCGGATATTTCGCAGCCGGACTTAGAATAGTCCGGTCCGTGGCTACGTCGGAGGAAGCCTGAAAGGTAGAAAGTGTCGGCGACGGCGCCGGAGCAATTGAAGAGAGGAATTTGGACTCCATTGTTGTGAGAGAGACTGATGGCTAAGGTACTAGTAAACTGGTACTGTAAAAGTGGTCATTTAGCACCTTGAATTTTAGAAAGTTAGCACTTAGATCCCTCGATTAGTCAAATTGTCACTATAACAACGTCCCTAATCCCTTGTGAAACCTCAAAAAAGAAAATTACAAACATAAGTAACCCCAATAAGAGAAGTAGTAATACTTTTCCAATTTAAAAAAGAACAATAGATTCAAATTCATTTAGTCCAGTCATCCAACTGTATTGATCGATTACTATATCAATTTTTTTATTATCAATAATAAATTGAGAAAAAAAATTTAGAAGGGAAAAGGGCCAAAACTGTCCCTCAACTATCGAAAATGGAACAACTATATCACTTGTCTGAATTCGGTGAAACTAAAAAAATAGCTAGATTTACAGGTGGTAATTAAAAAATTGTCATCGTTTCAAAAATAATCGAAATTTAGCTACTTTTCATGTAAAGATAAATCTGAACGAAAACATTGTTTGAAATCCGGAAATATTCCAACATAATATACTGGAGTTCGAATTTTTTCCATGTGAATTCCTAGCATAATATACTGTTGTTCCAGCATAATATACTGGTCCAGTATAATATGCTGGAAGTTCATACACAGGTGCTTCAATCTTCAGTATATTATGCTGGAATTTTCTGTGTGCTGGGGTAAGGTCTGCGTACACACTACCCAGACCCCACTGGTGGGATTATACTGAGTTATTGTTGTTGTTGTTTCTGTGTGCTGGAGTTCCAGCATAATATATTGGAAGTTCATACACAGGTGCACCAATCTGCAGTATATTATGCTGAAACTTTTTGCGTTGCAGCAAATCAATGACTATTTTTCAATGACTTTGCAAATGCTGGCTATTTCTTAATTACCAATCCGAAAACTGGTTAGCCCGTGCTATTTTTACGTTTGAATTTGGTCCTAAATTTGCCCTCGCCGTTAGCCCAATGGCTCGAACCTACCCCTAAAAACCAACGGATTGCCATATCAAATTGTAACACATTTAAAATATATGTAATTGCTGAGATGGAATGTCACGTAGGAGAAAGAGCATACCCCACTTATTTGTATTTTTAATCTTCTCCTTCCTTGAAAAGATCCTCATGAAAACTCACACAAAAGAAGAAGAAGAAGCCAGGGGTGCTAATTTTTGTTATTGTAGAGCGCAATGTGTAGTAGCCTAGTTCATACTATATGTTACTCATGAGGGGTGACAAAATGGTTTAAAAAAACAGGTAATTCACCCATATTATCTACTAAAAAATTGGTTGGATAATGAACTTTTTAAAAACGGGTCAAATATGGATAAGAACCATATTACCATTTAGAAAATGGATAATCAATGGGTAACTAATGGTCTAACTTTTACATCTGTAAAACCTTAAATTGCGGGTTCCTCATGTTAGGGAGACTAAGAATTCTCCAAAAGTGATCATATGCAAGAAGTCATGGATAATATGGCTACACATTTTATCCGACGGTTAACTCATTTTTTATCGGTATTAAATATGGATCAGATCAAATAATTGATCTGTTTTTTCATTACTCGTTTTTATCCGAACCATATCCGACCCGACTGTTTGTCACTCCCAGGGGCGGACCCACATGGGGTCAAGAGGGTTCAAATGAACTCACTTCGTCAAAAAATAACACTATATATATATGTATGTATATTATATCTTTCTAAGAACATCTTATGTATAAAAATTATTTTGACCCTGCTTGAAACAATCAGGATGCTTGGCCTGTTGGCAAAGCGGGTTCAATATTTTCGCAAGGTCTTGAGTTCGAGACCAGTAAGAGCTCCCCTTTTTTTAATACAGTTTTCCAAACTAATATTCCCAATTCCTTTAGATATCCCCCAATTCGAAATCCCAATTGCCAAACTAATATCCATACCAATTTCCACCCTTCCTTGCCAATTTCTTAAAATACCTTTATGCTCCTCTTTCTCAATTACCATTAGGTTTGCTCTCTCATTTCTAGTCTTTTCATTTTATATATAATGATACAAATTAGGTCTCTGTTATCATGTTTCTGATTGAAAATTTCTAGCTTGTTTGGGGTGTAAGAATGGAAAGCGAGGACAAAAAGAGTAAAGAGGGTTTCAACTGAACTGAAACTTTTAAGTTTCGATTAAACTCTTTCTTGTAGTAATAGATCTAGGCAATATCAAATAGTATTTTCCTTGAGTCATTGTCATGTTTTTCATGCTGCATACGGAATTAAGAAAAACCTCATAAGTTTCATGAAGCCAAGGTGATAATTAGTCTAATTTAATTATTGTTTATGATGCTAGTTTATATATATATNCCTTACACTAAAAAGAGCAAGATATTGCAAATGCTATTCTACTTTTTGGAGTGACAAAGAGATGGTTGCAAAAGCTAAGAGAAGAAGAATGGAATTCATTTATTGAAAAAGTGTCGGCATTTTGTGTCAAGTATAATATTTTGATACCAAACTTTTATGACTTTTATGTTAACTCTGGAAGATCACGACGTAAAGTTGCTGATTATACTATTTTACATCACTATCGTGTTAATATATTTTTTAAGATTATTGATTGGCAAGTCCAAGAACTCAATGCACGTTTTAATGAGGAGACAACGAACTTGCTTATTGGAGTAGCTTGATTAAATCCAGTTGACTCATTTTCAAGTTTTGATATAAACAAGATATTGAAGACGACTGAATTGTATCTTGAAGATTTTGATGAGAATATAACAGTTACGCTCAAGAATCAGCTTGAAACTTATATTGTTGATGTTCGTGATGTTGATGAAATGTTCTCCGATCTACAAGGACTTGTTGATCTTTCTGGAACACTAGTTAAGACAAAGAAGCATTTGAATTATCCATTTGTGTTTCGCCTTGTGAAATTTGCTTTGCTTCTACCGGTTGCCACTGCTACAGTTGAAAGAACTTTTTCGGCGATAAAGTTGATCAAGAGTGAATTGCGAAACCGAATAAATGACGGATTCATGAGCGGTTGTTTGGTTCCTTATGTAGAAAGGAAAATAATTAACACCATTTCTAATGAGACTATTATGAATACGTTTTAGAGAATGAAAATTCGTAGAGGACAATTGTAATAGTATATTTTATTAATATATATTTTTTGTTGACCTCTTTGTATATTTGCTTCTTGGTATTTTGAACCCACTTGATAAAAATCTTGGATCCGCCACTGGCCACTCCTAGTCATGACTCAGGTAGTGAAGTAGATTGGATTTTCGATTATCAGTAAGATAGTATTATAGTTGTGGAACCTAAAAAAATGTAGATATTAGTGTCAACTATCAATCTTAGAATTGTATAAAGATAAAGGAATCGTTGTCAAAGAATAATTTGCTTGAAGCGAATTGGAAAGAGAGTATTCGTGAAGCTAAAAGTACCTTTGACAAAACTGATTGTTCTGTTATTAGTTATCACACTTTCATCCCTGATTGTGAATATGCCGATAAATAATAAATGTATAAGCTATTGAAGAGAAGTTTTGATGTAACTGGTAAAGTTGCTGCCACGTAACGAGAAAGTCATGGATTCGAGCTGTGAAAACAGTTTACTGCAGAAATGCATAGTACCCTTGTGGTCCAGTCCTTCCCCGAACTCCGTGCATAGCAGGAGCTTAGTGCTAGGGTTGTGCACGGATCGGATCGGATCGGATTTAGCATATTTCGGATTCGAATTTCGGATTCTAGAAAATGCAATCCGAATCCGATCCGAATTATATCGGATCGGATCGGATTTTAAAGTTTGGATCGGGTCGGATATCGGATCGTATTATTATGCCTCAAAGTTAAACTAATATGTATATTTTCTTTGTAAAAGAGGCAATACATTAAGAAAAATTCATGTTTATGCAATTATGAGAGTACTATGGTGCCAATATAGCTAAATCTAGCAATTGTAAAGGTAATAACTTGGAGGTTGATGTAAATTAAAGTGTAGTATTTATACATGTCCTAATAATTTCGGATTTCGGATTGGATTGGATTAAAATATACCAATCCGAAATCCGAAATTTTAATAAACACAATCCGAAATCCGATCCAATCCGAAATCCAAAATTGAATGGATCGGTTCGGATTTCGGATATCCGATCCGAATGAACATCCCTACTTAGTGCACCAGACTGCCTTTTTATAATCCATAGTGTCTTTCTCCCGTCTATCTGTACTAGTTGAAGTAATGATAAAGTTGCTTATTTGTTTGATGAGAAATGCAAAACAAAAATAGATTGCACGCCTAATAAGAACTTGTTATGTTGTTGACTCGTAAAAATACCACGGGCTAGCCAGTTAGGTTAGGGAATAGAGCTAACTGCATCGGGTAAAATAGCAATTCCTAGTCCGAATCCTGGACTTGGTTCACGCTTGAAAGCAGCAATTCTTCTTCAAATTTCGTACATCAAATTGTATAGCCACTATTTTGCTGCAACACGGAAAGTTCCAACATAATATACTGGAGATCGGTGCACCTGTGTATGAACTTCCAGCATATTATGTTGGAAATCCAACACACGAAAAGTTCCAATGCTCCAATCTCCAATATATTATGCTAGACCGGTATATTATACTAGAACTCCAGTATAATATACTGGAACCCCAATATATTATACTGGAGTATTTTTCCGGATTTTGAACAGTGTTTTCGTTCAGATTTATCTTTACATGAAAAGTGGCTAGATTTCGATTACTTTTGAAACTCTGACTATTTTTGAATAACCACTTGTAAACCGGGCTATTTTTGGAATTATGGGCCTCATGACAAGCTACATAGGCGTTGGTCCCCGGCCAAGCAAGAAAATTTGATGGCATTGTATTTCAAAATAAATGCCGAGTCTGAAATAATATTTCAAAACTAGTGAATTGTTGGATCCTAGGGCCTAGACCTACATTTCTTTGCCTATAAAGCAAAACAACAAAGCTCATAGGCATATATCTTGAACTGGACCACATTTGAACGCTAAACTAGATTAGGTTGAAACCATCCATCATATCTCAGCTCATAGCATTAAAGAACTTTATTCTAATATCAAGAAACCCTTGATAGTCAACTTGCACAAGACTCAAAGTCGAAACCTCAACGATGGTAGGCTCGTCCCTCTATCATTCTCTACTTAAATCTCATCCACTGCAAAGTTCAAACTTGTGACGTCCCTCTATCATTCTCTACTTAAATCTCATCCACTGCAAAGTTCAAACTTGTGACGTCCCTCTATCATTCTCTACTTAAATCTCATCCACTGCAAAGTTCAAACTTGTGACGTGTGCCTAATCCACACACATCACACGCTGTGTAGTCCCATTGAATCAAAGCCTTGGGGACTCATAGCATTAAAGTACTTGAAGAGAGAGAAAGCCTTGGGAACTCATAGCATTAAAGTACTTGAAGAGAGAGAGAGTGGAGTGATCATAGACTAGAGATATAAGTAACTCAACAAACAACTTTATAAAGATAGATACATCGTTCCAAAATTTATGAGCAGCATAAGCAAAATGACAAATAAAATTTATAAATATGATCATAGATTTGAACTACAGTCATATGGTGATCCAATCTCTTTGAAGAGCATATCTGCCTTGACCTAAAAACAGATTTTTCCCTCAATAATAATAGAATATCACTCTGCGCCTTCCACCTATGTTGCATACCAGGACAACCCTTTTATTCAAGGTTCAATGACAAATAGAGGCTGCAAGAAGAGATTGGAAATCACATAAAGCACAAGTAGACCCAAACTAGTCTAAAGTTATATGGTAGAGAAAGAGAGTGACATACCGTGTCCACACTAACGGGTTTACCATCATCTGCAATTATGTCAACTATGGTTCCAGACGAATCAGCCTGATAAAGAATTCACAAATGCTGAATGGAGAAGGTAAAAGAGGAACTAAAAACTAAAAGGTGATGATGCGACTCTCCCCAGAGTTCACTATACCGTTCAATTTTAAACATTCAACATGATAATGATTTTAGGTAAATTTACGACCAACTTCACCAAAATGGGAAATGTTGAGAGGAGCTCCTTTATGACACATCACTTGCCTATTTACGTCATTCCTATAGGCCTCTTACCATGAAATGGATGCAACAGAAAAGGAAAACTGAAAATACAACACTTAGACATGTTCCACATTAGAAATTATCTGATTATCCATGTTTGTACCTTATCATAATCATCTTTTTATGAATCTATCTGTCACAGCAACTATAGAACTGAGCTTGCACATGAAGGAACACAAATCTTAATCTAGAACTTACCTCAATCTCATTCATCAATTTCATGGCCTCAATGATGCAAACTACTTGCCCTTTCTGGACCTTGTCTCCTACCTGGTAATTCGTCAGTTTAGTCAGGGTCATGAGAAAACAACAAGACCAAGAAGCATAAAAGTATAGGGAAAAGAGAAGCTGCAGGCAAGCACATAGTGGCAAACACTCTCTACTTTTGTAGCTAAATGTGAACAGTGTTATAGTGAATTTGCCCTTGATTAAATATTTCTCTGGTTTCCGGACTAATCTAAACATTTAACGCCAAAATTCACATAAAATTAAGGAATCCAGTGTCATGCTATAGTGCAACATGAAAAAATTAATCAGCTTTTACTTTCCTCTTTTCATTCTCTTTCTAGGAAACTTCAAGGATGTTTTTTTGCCTACAGGACACTACATATAGATCAAAAAGCAACAGCTCCCTCCTTTCTCCCCCCTCCCAAAAAATATCATAATAAAAGGAAAACAAAAAGAGGGGGGG